ACTTCTGGGCACATACCGAAAAGAACTGGAGGCAGGGTCTTGAAGAGATACTTGTAGTCTCGTGTTCGTAGCAGTATTATTCACGATGGCTAAAGCACGCACGTGCCCGGATGCTTACAGATGAACGGGCAAGCAAGTGTGGTCTGCACGTACAGAGGAAAATTAATCAGCCTTAAAATGGAAGGAAATTCTGATTTATGCTGCAGTGTGGATGAACCTTAACGATACTGTACTGAGTGAAATAACCAGTCACAGAAAGACGAGTACCGTGTGATCCTATTTATACGAGATGCCTGGAGGAGTCAGACTCTCAGAGACAGAACATAGAGTGTTAGTTGCCAGCCAGGGGCCAGGTGGAAAAATGGGGCACTACTGTTTAATAAGTGCAGAGCTTCTGTTTTGCAAGATGAAGAGCATTCTGGAGGTGGATGGTGGAAATGGCTGCACAACATTCTGAGTGTATTTAACGTCACTGAACTGTACACTGAAAAAAAATTAAAATGGTAAAATTTGTGGTGTCACACTGCTATTAAAACGTTGCAGGAAAAAAAAAATCAACCTACAAGCTATAAATTTAAAACATTTGCAGAATTTTAAAAACAAAAGAAGACACCTATGATGTTATGTGAAGCACAAAAGGCAGGTTGCAAATTTGTGGGTAGAAGATGATCTCAGCTGTCCTTAAGGAGAAAAAGTGTGGATGGGAATCGGCCGAGATGTTGGCAGTAGCTGCCTCCTGGTAATAGGAGTGTAAGGGGTTTCTTCTTTCTTTTCTTATAAATATACTGTACTTGCCAGTTTTTCTGCAATGAACATGTATTTATTGATGACAGCTAGACTAATAAACCCAAGGGGAAGCTTCAGTCTCCCACGTAGACTATTGATGAAGGGCTAAAATCTCAGCCCTTCACTTTCAAGGCAACACTTAGGAAATGGTTTTTAATAGTGTGTGTTTTAATCATTTAGAAGTTACAACATAATCTAAAGCTGCATTTAAGAAAAGTTACAATATGGTAGAAACATAGAGCAGGGTATAGATGTTATTTATTATTTTATTATCAAAGTATAGGGTTATAGATTTTAAATCCTGATTTTTCTATTTTAATAACATGTTCTCTGTTTTGTGCTTTCAGAATTAGTAACGTGGTCATTAACTGTTTTTATAAATGGAAAGTAAAAGGCGTACTGTATCTTTCAGCCTCATAGAGCATTGTTTTGTGTCTGCAGTTCCCCCCAGCGTACGCAGGCATATCCGAGGTGAATCAGCCTGCTGAACTCATGCCGCAGTTTTCTACAATCGAGTACGTTGTTCAGGTAATCATGCATTTAATGAGCCCTGCTAAGAGCTGAGTTTCTCTTGAAACACTTTGTCTTCTGCATCTCTTGCCTGTGTGGGGGATTTAAGCCGTGAGGGCAGAGGGTCCTGAACACTAGGTTCTGTTGATGGTGCGTGTGCATGTCCGGCCCTGTTCTCGGGTCTCGTTAGAAGGCCACAAAAAACGCAGCACCAATTGGGTTCAAACCCTGTCCTCCACAGTCTTCTCCATCTCAGCTGTTGGTACCCCATCTTCTGGTTGTTTAGCATAAAATCATTAGGTTCATCCTTGACTTCTCTCTTTCTCATACCCCACGTCTAATCCATGAGGAGATCCCAGTCTATAGTCAGATTTGACCCAGAACCCAGTCGCTTCTTTCTCCCCACCTCTCCTGTTCTGGGCCGGTGCCGCCTCCCACGTGAGTTACTAGGGGAGTCTCTTAACCCTTCTCCCTGATCTCACCCTTGCCCACTTATAGTTTATCCTTAACCCAGCAGCCAGAGTAACTCTTTAAAAACATACCACATTACATCTGTGTTCAGGGACCTCCAAGGGCGAAAATGTCTCCTTTTCCACCCAGAGTAACAGCCTTCAGA